GGTGCATGTGGTACAAGGCCATTTTTTGGCATGTCAGTTTCATCACTTGGTGCTCAGTCATCCGGGACGTTAAAATGGAGTTTATGGTGTCAAGAAAAAGAAGACATGGTTATGTAACAGAAGGTGGTTACCATGTTCCTAAATAATTAGTCACACCTGAGAAATCAACAAAATAAGCTCAGTTCCATTTTTATTCTAAAACACTCTGTATATAAATATACTGTCAATATAAATAGCCCGCCTTTAAGACGTCATGATGAAGTCGCACATTTTTCGAAATTTTGTGCATACATGTATATCTACATGTATAACCTAACAAACCTATTACTGTACAAAAAGAATTTTGAAAATACTAATTTCCGTTCATGAGATATGACTTACAGGTCCAAAAATGGAATAATTCATATAAAATCACATGATGCAGGGAGTTGTCATGATATGTCAATTCCTGCGTTTTTACCAGTATACACATCCCTGTTTAAAGGGAAAATACAACATTTGCAAACATCAAAAAATAAAACTACCAAATCATTTGAAATACCTTGCTGGACTGTTAGTGAATGACAGTGTAAAGCATCCTGTAAAATCATGGCACCTGGTACATGTATACTGTCATTTTCAAGAAAAGTGGTATTTTTGTATCAATTTCCAACGCTGATCGGCTGACCAGCGTTGGGAAAAACTGGCTTTTTTTTCAAATACTGGCCCCAGTTGACCATCGCACTTGTTTGCAATCGATTAAACACCTATGAACGGGTACAAGCCAGCTAGACTGGTTCCCTGACCTTACAATTCCCCAATGTATGTAAACTGCTCTGTTTCTTTTTAAATGGAGTCAGGGAACCAGACTACAGGAAAATGATTGTTTTTCTTGGTTTTTGTAGCATTTTCGAACCCAAAACCTCAAAAAAGTCAGTGTAACTATATTTGCTATATATTTCCAACCCCCCAATTCCATCCATTCCTGAAAATTACAGCAAAAGCAAATGATGTATACTCCCTTTAAGTACATACCAATGTCAACCCAGACATTTTTTTTTTTGACACGTATTATGTATTTCCAACCATAAATAAGTCTCCTTCATGCCCCAAATTGCATGCGCTCATGCAAGACTTATATTTTCAAAATTATTATGGCAGTTTGCTTTGAGAACATGCATATGTACTGCATGCAAGAAACTTACGTAATGGTAGGGGAATGGTTCCCTTATGTTGTCCCTCATTGCTGCAGATGATCACTCGGTAGTCGAAACTGTCTGCCACCGCGATCTCATGACCACTTGCAGTAATACCTAGAAGCCCATTGAACCCTTCTGGACCACCTGCCTCATTAGAAAACGTGCGACACATTTCCCACTTGACTGCTTGCACCTCAGGCTTGCCTAGATTGATGTTGCCAGTCCTCTGTTCAAGTCTCTTGATGTCTTTCAGTGGCTCTCCGTATTTGAGAGAAGCCTCTCCACAGTCAATGATGTGATGTTTTGGCTCACGATGATCTATAACAGTACAGGCTGGGCAGATAAACTCTTTACATGTCTCACAATAAAACCAGTTCACTTCCCCCTTGTGTTTCTGGCATTTAGACTGATATGATGTTTGCTCCGCTGAACAGGACGACTTTCCTTGAGAAGGAGCTGTAGCCATTTTATCTGTATACAAATAGTATTTAAAAAGAAATTGCAATGGTTAAAATACAGCGATGGGGACTTCTTTCTTTATCATGGGCATCGCAAGGTCAGGGGGGCAAGTGGGGTGCGCATGCCCCCCCCCCCCCTTCTGGAAAGAAAAAAAAAGAAGAAAAAGAGAGGGAGAAATTGAAGAAAATTAAGCGTGACGTCGTATTGCTATTAATTTCATGGGTTGGGGGGATGTCCCTGCCCCCCCCCCCTCCCTCGAAAAATTGAAAAAAAAAAAAAACAATTGAGAATACGCTAGTGCTTTGCCCCTCTAGCAAAAATCCTGGCGATGCTCGTGTTCATTATACATTTATACTGCACTTTCCACTTAAGGTTCACACTGGCGAACAAAGACAAATTCATGTATCCACTTTTGAACAAGACATCAAATACAGTGGTTTTTTATTCCTGTCAAATTCTTTTATTGCTCTGGCATTTTGAAGAACTCTGATAGTTAGCACCATCTCCAGTTGTTACTAAATAGGTTTTGTTGGAACATTACAATACACAATCTTCACACTTTGTTGTTTAAGCCATACACTTGTACCTGTAATAAGCTAGCATTTAATCTCATTCAAACAACTGACAATATTTTCTTACCTCTTATAAATTCCCACCAAATCACTTTTAAAACAAAATTGTTCCAATTTGACGTAAAGCGCACAAACAGTTCAGTCGTTTGGGGCGGATAAAAGATGGCGCTGGACAAACACAGAATTGTCACATGACATAGTTTATATATACAGAGCTGAGGATTTTTGTTTTCCTTCATATATGTCACACACAGACTCTGCTTACATGGCTTAGGCAAAATAAAAAATAGTTCTACTTCCGGCTACCTACATACCTACCCTATTTTTGTTTTGGTATAAATAAAGGAAAACCCCCCGAAAACCATCAGTTACTATTTTTTACTCTTTACTACATGTACATGCAGACACCATGTGATCTTTCAAAAAAAAATCCCCCCCCAAAAAATAAAAATTCTTCCCTATAATCGGAAACAGAATTTTTTTGCCTTAGGCCTATCTGTGTTCATATTTACTTGACACTTGAGTTTTGGACCTTAGATAGGTCTGTGCATTTTATCTACATGTACATACATGTATATGCTGCACTTTGTTGAATTTCAATCGCTTACACCCTCAGCATGCATTTAAGTAGTATCTTAAGAAATTTAAGAACTTTGTAATAGAACACTAATTTCATCCAATATCTTTTGATATTGCACAAAATAAAGGTTTCATTTCCCTTGTGTTATAAATACTGATGAAGAATTTTAATTGATTTGAAGTTATCATTTTGATTGTCCAAAAACATTTTCCGTCAGTTTTTAAATGTCAAGATAAAAACTACATGTGCATAAGAGGACACTATGTCCTCAGTTGGAAACCATTTTAATCAAATGAGAGGAGTTGCCAAAAGTTACCCAAACAAAAGCCATCAGAAGGACAGTGGGAAGTCCTCAATCTACTCAAATCTTTGTGGGAACAGCCGAGTTTTAGAGTTTTCTTTCGATATTCACAATGAAGCCAATTTACAAATGTACCCATTGACCAATCAGCCCAGAGACCGTCTTGTCATGCTTGTAGCCGGTTTTAATCACTTAGTGTCGCATAAAATTTGGAGTCCTGGGTCATTCCGTGGCAAATCACCCCCCCCCCCCCCAAATTTAAAGTTTAAACCCCACCCCCTTCAAATTGGTTCGTATTTAGTTTATGGGGTAATTTAGGCTGAAAATGCTGAAATATTAAGTTTTAGAGCCTTCGGACAAACAGTTTTCGCACTACGGCCCATCATTGTTTGGCAATTTTTGTCAAAATAGCATGGCTGCCAATTTTCAAATGACCACATCTCCATAACCTGTGGGCCAAATTCAATAGTTTGCTTTGGAAAGTTAGCATCATAAGGAAACCAAATTTACCATTACTTTTCATGTCGAGGTTATTTGAAGTATAATGGCCTTTTGACATTTTTTCATTTTTCAGTCAGGTTGGCGTAGCGGTACTTTCCTTGCCTTCCACCGCTGTGACCCGGGTTCGAATCCCGCCCAGTCCAATATGTGGATTGGGTTTTCAGTCCCTACCTGGTTCCATGGGTTTCCCCCAGAATATTCCTCTGGGTTTTTTCCTCCCACCTCTAAAACTGTAACTTCTTTACATTGTCTTCTCTCCACAGGTTGCTTCAGGCTTTCGAGCTACAGTGCTTATGGTACTTTTGAGGAATCCTTGGTTTCATTACCAGAAATAAATAAAATAAAATGAATAAAAGACAGCTCCCCAAGCCTCTCTCTTGGCCCCTCCCCAAGCCTCTCCCTTGGCCCCTCCCCAGCCTCTCCTTTGGCCCCTCCCCAGCATCTCCCTTGGCCCCTCCCCAGCCTGTCGCTTGCCCCTTCCCAGCCTCTCCCTTGGCCCCTCCCCCAGCATCTCCCTTGGCCCCTGCCCAGCATCTCTCTCGGTTCCTCCCCCAGCCTTTCCCTTGGGACCCCTTCCCCAGCCTCTCTCTTGGCCCCTCCCCAGCATCTCCCTTGGCCCCGCCTCCCCAGCCTCTCCCTTGACCCCTCCCCAGCCTCTCCCTTGGCCCCTTCCCAGCCTCTCCTTTGGCCCCTCCCCAGCATCTCCCTTGACCCCTCCCCAGCCTCTCCCTTGGCCCCTTCCCAGCTTCTCCCTTGACCCCTCCCCAGCCTCTCCCTTGGCCCCTTCCCAGCTTCTCCCTTGGCCCCTCCCCAGCATCTCCCTTGTCCCCCCAGCCTCTCCCTTGACCCCTCCCCAGCCTCTACCTTGGCCCCTTCCCAGCTTCTCCCTTGGCCCCTCCCCAGCATCTCCCTTGTCCCCCCAGCCTCTCCCTTGGCCCCTCCCCAGCATCTCCCTTGGCCCCTCCCCAGCGTCTCCCTTGGCCCCTCCCCAGCGTCTCCCTTGGCCCCTCCCCAGCGTCTCCCTTGGCCCCTCCCCAGCGTCTCCCTTGGCCCCTCCCCAGCATCTCCCCCAGCATCTCCCTCGGCCCCCCCCCCCAGCATCTCCCTCGGCTCCTCCCCAACCTCTGCCCTGGTGCCTAACGACAGAGAAAAAGAAAGTCGCTATCTGATGCAGTACCAGTTATTTGTGGACAGAGTGCGATATGGGTTTAATTAGTAAAAATGTTGTTATTCGACAGTCACATCACTTTGTATCTTTAGACCTCTTCAGTTGCACTTGCAACTACGGAAAGCCTAAACAAATACAAAAGCCAACAGAATTCTGAAGAAAAAATGACTACAGCTGAACACATATGTTTCTCATTAAGTTTGATTGTATTTTTTATATGTTCTATTTCATTGTAGACGGCTCATTCATATCCAGCGATGCTCACCTTCGATCAGCAACCACTGTGCTCAGTCTGGTCACCATGGCAACTGAGCAGCCTCAGGCCCCGCCTCCAGCAGCCATTGGTCAAGATCGTCGCGTACCAATTCCAATCAGCAATGAGCGTAGTCAAGGGCAAGGCAAGACACCTGTCAGCTTTGTTGTTGTACCTGTCAGTGATCTGGGTTACCCTGTTGGTTCACCAGGGAGTAGCATCTGGGCTTATACACCAGGTAAGCACAGTTTTATAATTAAAGGGAAGATACAACATTTGGAAACATCAAAAAACGAAATGATCAAATTGTCACAAAATATCTTACTGGATTGTTTGGGAATGACAGTCTAAAGCATCCTGTAAAGTTGTGGTTCCTGATGTGCTGACATTTTCAAGAAAAACTGCATGTTTCCAACGCTGGTCGGCCGACCAGCGTTGGAGAAAACTGGCTTTTTTCAAAAAGGGCTCTTCCTTTTTATATTTAGTTCATCTGCATTTTCTTTGCAATTGATTACACACCTGTGAAGACTACAACGCTGCTAGACTGATTCTCTGATCTTACAATTCCCCAAAGTCTATAAATTGCTCCGTTTCATCTTAAGTGGGGTCGGGGAACCAAACTTCAAGAGTATAATTGGTTTCTTGGTTTTTCCAGCATATACGAACCCAAAACATGAAACAAGTTAGTGTAACAATATTGGCTATAACATACTATTCCTCCAAATCCAATTATTTCTGAAAATTGCAGCAAAAGCAAATGACGTACATTCCCTTTAAATGTACATCGCACACTTTCAATTCAATTTCATGATTTATTTATTCTTATCATGTAAAAATATGAAACTTGTCTCCTCATTCTGCACACATATACTGGTAGTCGTATACACATTTTCATCGGATGCATAAAAACTTACTATATTTGGAGCATCAAGATAAGAGCAATGTGAAATAGTCCCAGATTTTCTTGGCTCAGTATACTGGTACTTAAAAATCCTAATTGAAGGAATTATAGCCAAAGCATCCTTCCTGATTAAAACATGCTGTAAAAAAATCAACTCAGGGATATGATTACATTTACGTTCTGGCCAGAAAATGAATTTAAAAAAAAACTACTGTGATTTCTAAACCCAAATGACATACAGCACATGCGGATTAGCAAAATATTAGTTGTCATCCATCCTAGAGAATGTTTTCCTTAAAAACTTCTTTGTCTTCTGAATTCTTCTGAAGGAAGTAGCGGTGACAGGATCCTAAGCAGCAACTAAGAGGACTTACCAGTTTAACTTCCTCCATCTAGACACTGTCAAGAGAGGATGGCTTCCAAATACCTGGTAAGCATCTCACCCCTCCCCCCCCCCCCAACACTTCATCCATTGCAATCAGCATGAGTTCAGGACTTGGAAACAGTTAAAAAAAAACACCACATTTTGGGTCCAGAGTACACACAGTCCTATTCAATTGATTTAGTCCATTAATTAGTGTTACAGGGTAATCCTATACAACAGCACTGCCCAGCTCACAAGTGACAGTGAGTCTATCCGTGAGGTACAAAGAGGACTGAAGGCTGGCGCTCTGGGACCAGCACAAACTGAACAGCGATCATTGAGAAAATCAAATAACGAAATTAAAACGTCATGAAGATGTACCTTTTGTATCTCAAGACATTACTGAAATGTCATCATGCTTGCGAGCTCTAACTTTATTCCCCTGGTTATTTCCTACAGACACCTGTCAGCCGGTTTGGTGAGCAACATGAGCCAATGTCTGGCATGCATCATAACATGGCCATGGGAGATGGGGGAGGGGTGACAGCTCATGGAATGGCAGGAGTGGTCTGGAACCCTGTAGCCACCATGCAACTTCATGGCACTAGTCCAAAGGTGGGTCCTGTCTCAAAGCTTAAGTCCGTGTCAATATTATCAGGCTATATATGTGAGGCATTCTGGCAAAATGAGATGCAACTGGGCACAGGCCGTAGTGAAGGGAAAATGCACGAAAAAATGATAGGGGGATTTTTGGGTTGTTTTGCTGATTTTCAGAGTGATATTCGTATAAGTAAGCAAAACAGGTAGTCTAAAAATCATGGAATACAAGAGTTTTTAAGATAAGATAATTGGCATCGTTCATTTTCGTGAATACAAAACTCGAATTTTTACAGCCAGGCCTTTTTCTCAGTATTTTGCTATTTTTACATGTCGATAAAAGCAAAGTTTAAAGTGAGCCATAACTTGTCAACGGAATGTCCGATTGAAGTGCAACAAACAGTATTGTAAGGAGCATTTTATTCTCTTTTCTAATACCTGCAAACCCTCATTTCAACCTCTGCCCAGTTCTGTCTCATTTTGCCAGAACGCCTCACATATATGGTCGTCAGTAACACGTGTCTATCAGCCGCTTTCATATATATGCGCATTATTACTAGCTGCAGCAATTGGGAGACTTTTTCAAACCTGTCATTATTTTTCTAAACTTAAATTCCTTGAATAGTTACTGCAAAATCCTTCTTTAGGCCAGGCTCAATATATTCCTGATGTAGTGAATGCCCAAGTTTTGAAGTTGTTAAACGTTAAGAGGTCTTAAAGTACCTGCTCAGAAAAATACAATATTGAGTGGCTCGGAGTGGAATGGAAATCTGGACGTTTCTAGCCAAGTGAAATTGGATAAGTCCAGATTTTACCGAGCAATAATTCCTCCCATTTCACAATTTGAAGCCAATCAACATTTGTTTTCTATAATTAACATATAGATCCTTGTCATTTGATTACTGTTAAAAATTTGTGGGAAATGTATTTCTCTCTTCCAAACCACCCTTTCACAAAATGTTTGAACCCAACTCTGAAGCTACTGGCTCTTACGAACAATACACGCTTTTCGCAACGTTTAACACACATCGGCATTTGCAAGCTAAATCCGCGGAATGGCCGGGAACGAGAATGATCCTAACTGTTCAAAAGTATTTTCCATTCCCCATTCCTCCCCCCCCCCCCCCCCCCCCCGGAGGGGGCCCTAAAATTGTTGGACACAATTAACTACACGTTCTGAAATAATATTTTCACATCATTGCATGTAGTTGGTATCAGAACTACACCTCCAGTCACCCAACAAAACAATCCTCATGTTTTTAAACATAAATTTATTAATATGCAATTTTGTCTTCTATTTTCCCAGGTTTGGGGAGCATAAAGCCAGCCGGTCATGTGACATGACAACACCTCTCCTTCCATTCCTATAGAGGGCGCTGTACGTCACAGCCGTAGCATCCACAAGAGATAGTTAAGTTAATTATGTTTCTTAGATGTCCAGCAGCCATAGAGGGCGCCATAATCCATTTTTTTCTCGGACATAAAAACGCATAGACCGCCAGTCAGGCACTTTCAGGCATTTGGTTATATGGCAAATTGTTTGTTGACAGCGTGCATAACTATGCAGTGCTGGTTCAATGCGCCAAAATGCTAAATATGGTACATACATTGAAATACAATTTATAAATTATTTTGGTAAGGGCTGTATTACTCAAAAGTTGTATGAAAATGTTCGGAACCGTATTTTTTTTCATTTCGTATTTAGTTCTCAATGGATTTGTTTACAATCAAAAACTAACTTCATAATTGTTTGTTCCATGTTTGACTGGAATTCTTCAAGTCATGCAAGTGCGTGCAAAAACCCTATATATCAAGAGGTGAATTTGTTCGTCTTGATTTTAGTCGGGCGCTTGGTATAAAATCACTAAATGCTACTGTAGTTCTGAATAGGACCTAGCGGTCTATGCGTGTATTTGTCTGTGGGTTTGTTGCCTTACTTGCCCAAACAAAATGTGTTAATGGTATAATTACGAAAAAAGAATAGTTTAACAAAATAATTAAGCCTTGGTTAAAATAAAAAGGAACAATTCTGTGAAATGGAAGATGATTGTAAACAGCAATTCGTTTTTTATTTGACTTCATTTATGCTAGACCAAAAAAAGCTCCAGTTTCTGGTCTGCACGCGCATCGCCATAGCCATGCGCGTTGGCAAAATTGGAAGTTTTTTTTTTTCAAAGATGATGTCTCAATATCGCCAAATTCACTGGTTTGACTGGAGTCCTGCTGCTGCACAATTTTAACGTGTTTTTTAGATGGGGTTACGATGGAGTGTAAGCTTTAAGTGGCCTCTCTGGGCTCCCATACCTTTTGCGCTGAATTTAGTAGGTCACCATTTGCCAGTCATCAGCCGATATTTGAATAGTTAAAAAATAAAAAAAAAAAAACGCGTCGCCGCACCACTTTTGGGGCAAGCTCCATACCAGAAACCGAAGACTTTTTTTTTGGCGCTACTGTAAACAAATTGAATTTGCTTTTTTGCTTGATTTTGTATGTTAAAAGATGATAAGCTACCCTGGTTGAAAATATGTTTTTGTTGACATGTACATTACAACATCAAGGTCAGTGAACCTGGGTGAACTTTGACCTCTGTTGTCTCAATAGTAGTGTATAATCATTTAGAATTTCATTTCCATAGAGCTGTAGTAAACTATGAGAGCATTTACTCCTCATTCCCTTGCACACTTCAAAGTTGTCCGAGCTCAACACAGTGCTTGAAGAATGTACATGTAGCGAGATCAAGGTGAAAGTCCTGTCGCCAATATGAAATCAATATTTTTGGGTTTTGTGCACTTCTGTACATGTAGCTAAAATATATTTCTGATGCAGGCATGTGGTCTAAATCCCAAGTGAAAAAAATCCCAACAGTGAGAAACAGTGAGAAAAATCCCAAATCTGTGCAGCGCAAAGCACTGACGAATGAAATTAAAGTTACACTAACAGCTTTGAAATGTTTTAGAATATATATACAGGTACAACATTTTGAGCTAATTTCTTTTGATTTTTGCACAAACACGGATGCATGCGCCCAGCAGGCTTCATCCCTTTCATATATGAATAAGCTCTCTAATAATTTAATATAGCTCTATGTCCTGATTAAGTGCACATGTGCAGATACAAATCTAGAATAGCAGGGAGTGTGTAACAATTCCCATAGTTTTTCTTGCAACAATAAAATATAACACAATGGAGTGTGTTCAGTGGAAAAAGTACAATCAGAACGCAAGTCAATTGAAATTTTGTTTGTTGATTGGTTGTGGTAACGAGGCCCGGATTCTCTGATAGATCTCTCTCGTAGGACGTAATCTTTGTCGAAAAATCACAACTGAGTGTCAGGTACATGTGCACATAGTGCGCAAAATGTTTTTAACACGCGCTCGTTTGCTCGGAACGTCTTCGAAATATGACGCAGCCGATGCGTATCACGAAGAATTGACGGCCAAAACGCTGATGCGCGTGGCAATCTGTAAGAGTGACGTCATTTGAGAGAGACGCCTATAAGCAGAGTAGGAACTATGTCTAGGCCTACGAAAAATTAGCGGCCTTTGAAAATACCACAGTGTGGCCTGGCTTGCTTCGTACACCTTAACATCAACATGAAATTAGTGCTGTTGCCTTGTGCAGAGGTGTAAGGAACACTTATCCTGCTCTGGTCATGACAGAATACATGTATAACAAAAAAAAAAATAAAAAAAAAAATAAATAAATAAAAAAACTATAAAAAGCCCAAATTTGAAGAGGAAGTGTCGAATTTAACATCAAAGAGTGTTAATTCAGTAAAAAAAAGTACAATGACAACTCAGTCAATCTTTAATAAAACAAACCACATTCATCCGGATGATAACTTGAGAAATAGCCATTTTATTCAAATGAAAATTCCACAATTGATTAATTGGGACTTTTTTGTGAAGTCTGTTAAATTTCAACAGGATTTATCAAACAATACAGTTAATGTAGCCAAAACAATAGTGAGCAAAGTAAAATCGGAATTAAAATCAGCCTTATGCAAAAAAAAGCCAAAAACCTACACACTTATTTGCTGTGATGTCTTTAAAAACCTACTTAATTTCAACAGCAATTGACAAAAAAAAAAAAACCAGAGTATGTTCGGTGTGAAAATTTCAATCGAAACTAAAAATATTCCAAATGCGTTACAAGAATGACACACAAGTATGATGACGCTGGAAATACCTGTTGAGTTTAATTAAAATTGTATCCATTGATTGTTCATAAAGTCTTTAAGAACCCCATAAAATTTCAAGAGAAATTGTGTAACTATAAAAAACGATTAAACGTGTACAAATGCAAAATATAGTCAAAAGCCGTAGAAAATTTAACCTTGCATTTATCATGCATTGTACCAAAAAGTCTTGCACAATTACCAAATGAGTACATTTCTTCACTTTTCTACGCTCTTTGAAATTGCTGCTTTAAGCGCGACAATGGAATTTTTAGAAAATGTATGAAAAACAAATCTAATAATTGCAAAAATTATGGCCTACTTCAGAAAAATTGCAAAGTTGAACCGTTACTTCTGAAAAAAAAACAATTCTTACATTTTCACCGGCACCAGACTATCATGTGACCTCTAAACACCTTGACAAGAGAGGGCGATGAGCCATGCAAAATCACTGAAGCATGAAAACCTATTCTGACAGCACGCTACACGGTCAAGTGAGGAAGGCCCTTCAACCAGGTTGTATCAAGACCCTCATGCTAAGAAGTCTATATCCACCTCACACACCACTAATAACCAGCATTCCAGCAATCATATACACGTATGGTCTTTATCAGGCATCAACAAGTGCAGCAGTCTCCAAAAAGGAAAAGGCTAACTACCAGTCTGACTGATGATTCGCTGCGAAGACTGATCTGAACTTTCAGGACAGGGCAGAACTTCAAAAAAGAAGTCCGGGTATACAATCCAAAATTTAGTCCAAGTAATTAGAAATGATATTCCCAAATCTAAGTCCAGCCCAATAAACTCCAAGTCCTGCAAGCCCAAAGACACTTATCCTAAGCAGCAATAATATCGCGAACTCCAAGTCTAGCCCCATTACCATGATTACCTCTAAAAAGTCTAAGTCAGCCCCATTACCTCTAAAAAGTCTAAGTCCAACAAGCCCAAAACTTATATAAATTCCCAACCCATCAACTTGCAGAAATTTGGAAGCCCGTCAACTAATAGTCCAGTTCCCTCTCAACCATCAACCAGTCAGCCCAAAGTCCCAAAGCCTACCCTCCAGCTCCAAACCCCTTCAGCTCCCAACTTCTCAACCTCCCAGCCAGACCCTCAGATCTGAAAAAATTTCAAGGGGTACCCCTTGATTTCTGAAATTCTGGCCAAAGCTGAAAAATTTTCTAAGTCCAACAACCTAAGGGTTTTAATTACGAAAACCGGATAAATTTTCAAGAAAGTGCCATGGCAGAGCGGAAAAAGAGAGAGCTGGCATGCAGAAGGTACGCGGTTCAACCCTGCTCCATGCTACTATTTTATATATTTTTTTAAATTTATCACTGCTGTGAAGAAAAATTCTCCTCCCGGGTCCCCGGCTGGATTTGAACCGGGGACCCGGCGCCTGGCGGTCAGTGAGCTAGACCGCCAGGCCACTGGCCTCTTCGAAAATTTGTTCTCGGAACTTATATTTAAAGGTTAGATTGCGCAATTTAAAAAAAAGAAAAAAAATGGCCGCCTGGCCTCATTTGAATAAATGAATAATAAAAAGCAGAAAACTGAATATTCAGAAGGAACCACCACAGGTCCAAAATTCTGGTTCTGAAATTTAAATATTTATTCCATACACTTATTGTAGCTTGTACACTATTTTGAAACGCATTTCACCGGGTTTGTTTAAAATTAATATTACAGTTGTTTTTAAACTTAACTTCATGTACATGTATTTACAAATAAACACCATTCTGTTTAATATGATGAATGTAAACATTAATTACTTCCCTTTACAAGATTCTAAATTTCTTAATGCTTAAGTAGTCGGTCCTACTTTAAAATGTTTACTAATATTGATTCCTCGGGGGGGGGGGGGGGGGGGCACACAATTTGTTTCTATAAAAGGGCAAACTTTTGTTTGAATGTGAAAATGGAGTTTTTTTTAAGTTCACACCTACATTTTACTTGAGGGCCATCCTTAAATTGTCAGTGATTTTTGCCTACAGCATCTTATACAATATTTGCTTTTCTAATTCTTAAAGTTATAACCACTCTACAATTTAATAGAGAGACACCTTATTTCAGGAATACGTTCTAGTACAACTAAATTTAAATAAGTTAAACTCTGATTACAACACGTTACACATAGTATATGCATACTGCCCTCTATAGACCGTCTAACATTTTTAACTGTCTATCTGGCTAGATATTCATGCTAATTAATTTTACAACGCTCAAATTACTGCATGAACACTTTCCATTTCCTTTCCATAAATTTAAGGATATCTTAGAGAGCAAATATGTAGGGATCTTGTTTCCTTAAAACACTGATTTTCCTCCCATAACTTTTCCCCATTATGAATTTGGTGTCACAAAATGTCATTTTACCAAAAAAATTATCAATAAATTTGGAAGAAGTTACTAATGTTTAACTTTCTTGTTTGATGACACCTTTTGCATCACACAAATTTGGTTTCATTTCATTTTGACATGTAAACCATATCTTACACCTTGTAACAAAGCACTATTATGATGCCAAGTGGATCATGCATTAATTCATTCATTAAGCAGCCATCAGCAATTCATGGGCAAAAGAGGGCGCTGCTCACTGAGACTAGTTTTTATTTACTAAAACTAGGGTGTCCAACTAAACATTTACAAAATTTCATTTAATTTTAGGAGCAAGCTCTAATGTACAAACAAATACCTCAATTGTTTATGCACTGATGTTTTAGGCGTATTGTTTCATTTTTTTATTATTACATTGACCACTTGAGTGTACAAGTTGTAATGCACAAATGGCTTACTACAATACTTTGCATGGATTGCACTTTTCAATTTACATAAATATATAGATGAATACATACATGAACAGAAATATAACACCCAGTAACTTATTGGACAACCAGAAAATCTATAGTTTTAGCAAGTATATGGGCAATTCCATGCTGATTGACAGACATAAGAGACATTCGGCAGGTTTCAAATTCGCATAAATATCGCGTATTCAGAACAATATTACACGCGACGTCATCACATCGACATAGGTACTGTAACTTCAAATTTCTATATTTTCACTTACTTAAAAATACGTAATTACCATGTGTATCAACTTCTCATTTTGAACCCGACATGTCGAATTGCAATTAGAATTGGAAGCTCTTAAGAGTGTTGGGTATTTACCCCCAATTTCCCCCCCCCCCCCCCCCCCCCCGTATATTTTCAAATATAGATTTTTCAATATATAGTTTCGAAAGATTGCCCTTTTCCATTCAAATGCAATTTTTTCACCAGCGCTTAACCCCCTCCCCCCAAATATTTTGTAAAGAGTGCCTTTTGTCGTCCTATATTGTCTGTTAGTGTGAATAATCATTGTTTTTGAACAGCAGCACTGTCCACAGATTAGTGCCAGCCCCCCCCCCCCCCCAATTTTACAGAGGCAATGTCCCGAGAAAAAATGTGTCTACAATTCCACACGAATATGCAAGTGCCCTTTTCAAAAATCCCCCCCCCCCAAAAAAAAATCAAAATGACTTTCCTATGTCACTATATTCAGTACACATTAACTGATGCGTATAATTGTTTTTTATATTCAGTACACTTTATCATGACCAACATTTAAAAACAATGCAGGAAACAACTGATAGAACAAATTTAAAATTTCTCTTCAAGTTGACATTTATAGTATCCATTTATTTATCATAGTAATATAATAATATCATTATTTATCATATAATTCATGTGCGTACATGGAAAATTTAAATTTGTAATCAATTGAGAAACTAGACGGTATTGGACATTAACAGACATCAAAACTTGTTCAGGTTCGGCTTTTATTTTCTTTTATATCAAACTGTGACTGTATGCAAGAAGAAATCACTTTTCAGATCAAACCTTGTAGCGGTATTTAAAAGAAAATCTTTCAAAAACTTGTACACTGTCAGGACCTCAAAATAAAGCAGATGAAATAGAAACTTGTCAAAATGATCTAGAAATATTAGAAGTTATCTCCATTATCAACTGTGTGAAGTCTTGCATATTTAATACATGTCATATTAATATTTTCTTTAACAATTTGAGGTCTCAAATTCAATCCTCATTTTAACTACTTTTTCTCAAAGTGTTAATTCCTGCTCACTTATTAAAATCCTCATGTTCTTTTCTTTTCTGTTTGTTCCTCTTTCATTTGTTCCTCTTGTGGTCTTCATACAATCCTTTTCTTCCAAATTTGTTTCTGCTGTGTTGTTCTCTGTGCTGCTGTAATTAAGTTGCAACCTGGGTGTATATCTTTCCTGAAAAATATGAAATATTCAACACAATTTTTAGTATTTTGTACATGTTAACATTAACACAATTTTAATTCCTGTTTCTGTAGCACTTCCTAAGATATCCAATGAACCAACAACAAATATAAAATCAACAAATATAAAATCAGCCAACGTTAGTAATAAGGAATTATGAATATTAAACTATTTGGTGCCAAACAATAATTCAGTTCTCACAGGGAAGACTTCCCCCACCCCACCCCACCCCATCAGAATGGACAATGATAGACTACTTGTGCCCAAAAGCAAAACAAATATATTTTTTATTTCATTCCTCAATTATGGAGTACAGACTGTGCAATAATGTGACTGCATGACATTACACATGCCCAATACTATTACAATATTTCATGGCTGGCCTAAGTATAAAAACAAAAACTTCTGACAAATCGTTTTTTAACACTTCTGAGAACTCAAGCTAAGGAAAGTTAACTGAATATTTCATTGGTTAGGAAATGTAGCCATTTACATAAAATCACTTTTGATGGCTTTCAAATCATTCAATATATATCTCATATTACAAGCAAAATCTGACTAAAATTGAAAACTGAAAAATAACATCCATTTTCACAAAGACGCCTTCAAAACGGTAACATAGCAAATTGAAATATAACTGTATAGATAGCAAAAGACTAATTAAAAATTCCTCACCAGTGCATCCATAAGTCATCATGACGTCATTGCAGACTTTGATGTGATGGTGTACCGTACGTAACTCACAAAACAGTGCGCACATAGGACTAGACTATATTTCAGTTTTAAAAATGCCACGTTATATTGTGTCTCTTCAGCGAATCAAACTTGAACAAACGATAAATTTGTTTATTTTTTGGTCTTGTGTGTCAACCAGCATGGAATTGCCCATTTAACCTTTTTTTCTCATTTAACAGCCTAGTACATTCTAAATAGGCCCAAGGCACCTTGGATGTAGTTTCTCTGATGTTTGATGTCATCACAAAGTGGTGCAGTTTCAGGGCATTCCAGGATCAAGAGCAACGTCTTCTTGGTAAGAGCAGGAAAACCTGAAATTCAAGATAAAATATTAAACAAATAAAATATGAATAGCATACGTATATACATATTATAGTTAAGGATTTTTAGGTCATAATTTTGCAGACTTTTGTAGTTTTTGAGGCTCCACTATGTTGGGAGAACCACTATATATAGGGAGAAGTTTGGAAAATAGAATTTTGAAATTTAGCTTCATTTGCATTCATATTCATATCAATATTTTAGCATGAATTTATAATCAACCCGTAATTCACATAAATATGGTTGCAAAAGCAAGTATCAAAGTATATTGAACAAGTTTTCAGCTCACCTGAAACACATGTGTTCCTCTTCCTACATGATGACAGGCTTTCAACGAATTTTGATAGAGGACAAGTTGGGACAACCACTATATATAGGAAGAGGTTTGGAAGATAGAAGTTGGAAATTTAGCTTCAGTTGCATTCATATTCACAGCAAAATTGTAGCATAACCCTAACTCCATAGCATAATTTACTAGGAACTGTAATACCCATCCTGGCAAATTCCAACACCCACATGGGAAATTATACACACACACTGTTGGACTTAGTTTCTGGAGGTATGCCAAAACCCAATGTAAAAGACCATCAGTACTGCACCCATTCTAACAACACCTGCTGTTGGGCTTTGATGGGTTGAGTTCCTGTCGGGTTAATTTATAATCAACCCGTAATTAATTCACATAAATATTGTTGCAAAAGTAAGTATAAAAGTCCATTGAAAAAGTTTTTAGCTCACCTGAAAGACATGTGCTCTTCTTTTTGTGGTACTGGTAACAGCCTTTCAACGTATGTCGATAGAGGAAAAGTTGTGACAACTATAGGGAGAAGTTTGGGAGATAGAATTTGGAAATTTAGCTTCATTTGCTTTCATATTCACAGCAAACTTATAGCATACATTTATATTCAACCCATAATTCACATAGATATTGTTGCAAAGCAAGTTAATTGAGAAGTTTTTAGCTCACCTGAAACATGTGTTCCTCTTCTTGTGCTAGTGTGACAGGCTTTTGATGAATTTTGAGAGAGGAAAACTTACTCATCCGGTCCTGTCTTATCAAAGAATGTGCAAATAATATAGATTAGTTATGCACGATAGCTCAAAATACTCGTAAGGCTGCAGATGTTTGCTTTCAGATTTATTATCCGGAGCAAATGACTGACCTACAGAGGCAATCAAAATGGTAAACAAATGCGATTTCATGTGATGTGTCGAAAAGATGCTTGAGCACACAGAATGGAATGTTACAGAATCAGCAAACATTAACCTTAGTGTTCACAACGCAAAGAGGTGCTATGACAATATCTTGGCTATGTGACAAGAGCCCCACTAGTGAAAGTTAATGAACAAGATTTGTTAGTGTCGTAGGCCAATTACATGGGAACCTGATTGTGTTCTGGTCATCACAGATGGAATAATCACCGTGTTAGGTGCACGAGAGAAATCTTGATTGTCTGCAAAGGTTTGTCATCAAACAAAACAGGTTTTACAAAGTCAATACATAAAGTTTTTGTGCATCGAGTAATGGCAAACTGTTTGATTGTGTACGGTCATTGTGTGCTTTGAGTGAAGCCTTGAGCTTATATAGCATTATTATCTTTCAATGATACTCTGAATGACGAGCAGTGGTTTGAAGAAGTTGTATGTTGATTGACAGCCAAGTATTCTTGAGAGGGTGCGAAAGAGGGCTGATTCAATTTACCAGCCGAGTAATTTACTGGGGTAAAACTCTCGGGCAGCAGCCTGCAGAGCAGTGGTAATGCTTTTGGAGTGCATCTCATACATGTGACTACTGAGCTGGACCAGCAGCCACAGAAACCAGCCATCCTGAACGGATGGCTATGGGCTCAGTCCTCTGTGCCTTCCCAGATATAGACATCCTGGATGATGTCTATGAACCCTTGCAGCGCACTGACCCAGGCCAACACAGTGCATATAGCATATTGGTGAATGCTGTTAAAAAGGATTTTGTAGATCGAGCCACCCCACATACATATTTTCCCGAATCCAGCGTGCACCCCCCACAATGGACAACATATCAGGTGGGTGAGCTCAAAGCAGCCCTCACCAGGCCTAGCACTCTTCTGGGAGTCACTGATGAGAGGACAGTCTTGCACCCAAATGAGTCAAAAGGCTGCCATCAGCAACTTTTACAGGCATGACTGCAGGGCAATCAACCGGAAGTTGGCCGAACACGCTTGGTCGCCCTTCTTGTACAACAGTTAACCTTGGTAGCTGTGTTCCAAAAGATGGGGAACCAACCTTCATGCAGACACTGATTACACATCGCCACTGTATCTTAAAATGCACTGTCTGCCAATCTGATGTGATGATATCTAAGCCGGTCTTTCCCAGGTGCGGAGTTTGACATCCGACCTAGTCTGGAGGAAACCTCCGTCTGCAAAATGGGGCGTAGCAAATCTGAACCAGACTCCCAAGCACAGGCCCAGTCAAAAACAAGAGCTCAGAGTCAGCACTGAGTCTATTACCATCAACCGCCCTTTCTGGATGAACTTCAGTAATTACATGTACATGTAATTTGCTAGTGTTTCCTCAGTGCTAGCATATCTGACCTCAGAGCTATCGTGGACCAGTGGATTGCCTGTCTGATACAGGACCTGTAAAGCTTCTAAAGCCTGCTAGCCTCATGCACATCGAACTCTGGCCTGCATCGCCACAATGTCGCACTGCACCACAATGTCTTGCGCTGGGCGGGTTCATGGCACACACTGCATAAGACAGCACCACCAGCCATGGATTAATTCTCCTCCTTCACGGGCATTGAAGCCTGTGGTCTTGACAAACCCTGACTCGCCAGTGCAGTCCCCCTCGGGCCCTCAATCCGGCCTGCTCCCTCACCCGTGATGATAATTTTTACGAGCACCGCACATCAGTCACAGGGTTTTGGGCACACCACTGGCACATACCCTCATCCATGTTACGGACACCCCGAAGGGTCCCCAGCGGACGTTGGAGCACCAGGGCAACTCCCTCATCCACGTTAAGGGATCCCTGGAGGGAACTTGAGCATTCATCCATGCAGTGTTGTGGAGTGGAATGAATGGTCAGATCTCGCCCTCGGTATGGACTACCTGTTAAGTCCCTCATCTGCACCCTGAGGGAGATACGGAATGTTGGGCGGAGGTCATATTCAGTACAGTCACAATCAAGGGCGGATCCAGGGGGGGGCCCAAAGGGGGCCATGGCCCCCCCTCCCCCCCCCCCCCCAAACGAGACCAATTTTTTTTTTTTTGATGTGACATCGCAATAAAGGCAGGCAATGAGTACACCACCATCTTTTCCTCACAAAAACATTGGTTAAAGTGGTCAGAAATTGCCTCAGATCGCACCACAGAGCATCTAGAATCCAAAAAATTTTCCCCACGCCGTAATTTTTTTGACCCACTTTTTAGGGGGTCCAAAATTTTTGTTGGCCCCCCAAAAAATTGTGTTCTGGATCCGCCCTTGGTCACAATCAATGTTTCTTCAACCAAGCCAAGGATAAGGTCCATCAGAAACATGGGCTCTGGGAGTGCTGTATCCCCAGACGAAGAAGGTGTGGTGCGTCGTGAGGATGCAGGAGAGCCCCAGGCAGTTGCTTTAACCGAACCACATGCTTGTGAGTTTGGTAGTTGTTGGAAACATGCCTGTCCAAGTCCAACTCCCGCTGACACATGGAGCACTTGTAGACAAGATTAACAGAAAGTAAAAGGATGTATATGCTGCTGGTGTCGCGTCAGAGTCAGCTACGCGTGGTACAATGTAGCTCTCCCTATGCACAACACAATTCGAACCGCGAGTGAAAGGATAGGAAAAGACTGGGTCTCGCTGTCTGGAGATCTCGGAGGCCGCAGATTAGAGATGGACCCATGCCAAGTGACGATGGAGACTAGAAGGTAAAGGGCATGACCTCATCAGGCAAAACATACAGGCCTGGCCTGAAGGGTTCTCGAGCATTCCTCTATGGAGTGTTGGGCATTTCCCCAGTCTTAACCCTTTATCTGTGTTGCAGTTACTAGAAGGGGTACTAAGTGTGCATCCACAGAGTGTTGGGCCGGAGCTGGGGCCCTCCCCTCATCCGCATTACGTCTGAGCGTTCCTCTGCAGACTGTGGGGGATCGGCCAGGTCGTCCAGCAGCATGTCTCCAAAGTTGTTCTCCATCATCCAGGTCTTGGACCCTCAGATTTTTGACTATCACATAGAATGAGTTAAACTGATAAGAACAGAAAATACACGTGAGGAGGGAGGGTGTGGCTGCATTCAGCTGAATCCTTGACAATGTATCAGCTGGGGTGTTATCGACATCCTATTGTGTCAGTGGTGAATCGAAAATAAAGTCCAGTTGGCGAATTTTGCATGGAGAGTGTTGGTCGTACAAAGCCTTGAATGCGTATGCGAGTGGCTTGAGATTTTGTAATGACATGAAAGTGGCACCTCCTACCAGCATTTCGCAAAATGGCGTATGTTCACGATTCATGGCCAAATCACCACAGTGGTTCTTTATTTGCGGAATTGGGTTTGCAAGAGAATACAACATAATAAGTTGCCAAGCATTGTCAATTAGCTCTTAGTTAAAGGACTTTACTCCAAACATCTGATGCATTAGTCGAAAGATACATGTACGTCAGTGTTATGCTTAGGATGAGAGGCTGGCAACGTTTATGAGAGTTGACAAGATCGATGTTGTCCAAAGCTGCTACAGCTGCGTCAGTCCAACGCCTGCTTTTTGACTATCCATGTGATCATTATTTCAGTGAGGGGTTGGAGGATGACGGCTGCATAGGGTATGAATTTTAACATCATGTTGCATTCAACTAATGTCAGGGTCTCTCGACCATAGAGGCTAGTTAGGCCGTTCGCCAATATTGGCCAGGGCAGTCGTCCGAGGGCATTACCGCTACAAATTAAGCATGACAGGATTGCATCCTTAGGATTGCATACTTAGGAAGAAATTTTATGATGACACTCTGAGTTCACTGTTAATTAGTACAGTTCTTCTCAGAATGTCTTTTAAGGGACTGTCACTTCACATTGGTGTATCAACAAAATGTATCCCTGGTAGTTTCTATCATGCTCCACATCACCTACCTATATAGCTAGGCACAGTCAGCATCCAGGACCTCTCCCATCACACGTCAGCTTCGTTGGCTTGGACATCAGCTCCACCCTCTGGCTACCCATTGCAACCTCCTCAGTGGCCTTGTGATTTGGCATCCCTCGCAGACAGATGGCAGAGAGGTTGAAGACAGCTACTCTACGATGAGCATGGATGACCCTAATGTCCATCCTAGGCCCCTGGAAAAATAGACATGTCGTAGAAGACCAGGACAACTGGTGAAAGACGCTGGTCGTTGCCTCAACAACCTCGCTATGCCACAGAAAAACAACAGGAGACAATTAACAGAAACATGCTAATAGCCAAAAACAAGTTTACTTGGACACACAATTCAGGGATTGAAAAAAATGCATCAAAACTACATGTATATTTAATTCCACAAACAAGGTGAAACTATCCGCATAAAATGTACACACATATGTTCATACATGTATGTTCATGTGTTTATCATGAAGATGAGTCTGGATGAATTTGGCCAAATATGGGGCCAAATTAACATCCCCTTTAATACATGTATGGGTAAGCCCATTGCACAAAAAAAGGTGATGCCATAGTTCGGGACTCAAGAAAACAAAAGAATTGTTTTGACAACTTTAATATCACTGAAAATTATTATTTTATATGGTAAAACTAAACAATTTAAAAATTGAATATTCAGTTGACTTTATTCAGGTCCAAACACATATAATTTTACAATGATGAGTAAGTGGCCCGTAAATTAAAATTGAACAAGTTTTTAGCTTACCTGAATGTGTATCCTTGTGTTCCTCTTATTGTTCTCACAAGAGGCATTCAACAATCTTTGAGAGGAATAAAAAAGAAACACAAAATCAGCCTGCCTTTTTTTTTCATTGAAAATGCATCAAGCTGATATCTGTTCAAAAATCTGATCTCTTTTCACCCACTGATCCAATCAAAATTATGGATACTAGTGACTAACTTATTATTAATTTGTAACACCAGCTTCCAAAATTCTTCAGCTATTGACACTAGAATTGTCCCGCTGGTAAAGGAATAGTTGGAAAATATTGTTAGCTGAGACCATGCAACTTAACCCTATTACTGAATCCATCAAAATCCATACACCTGTTTTGGAGTATTTCGGCGGCCGGATTCAGCTACAATACGTACCTAAAACAGGGGGATTTTGATGGATTGAGGATTGTAAGCCTAGCAGTACCACAGGATTTTGATGGATTCAGGATACCTCCATACTGAGCAGTCACCAACACCAACATTTGTATGCATGACACAATATAGGTAGATTCGTGGATTCAGGATACTTTCTAGTAAAGATATCCAGGGATTAAGCCCGGTTCATACTCTGCGCGAAAGCGAAAGCGAACACGAATTTGTGACGTCGTGGCAAGTATTCGCGCTGCGAATTCGTAAAAGTTGAACATATTTCAACTTGGGCAAATTTCGCAACGAATGTTTTATGACGTTAAATTCCCTTCGCATTCATTTTCGCATGAAGTATGAACCGGGCTTTAGGGTTAATGATTTTCATGTAGCTACCTTGTAATTCTACTGCCCTCTTAAGCATGTGACCAAGGTTGATGGGGGTGAAGTTCGGTAGATTGGGTTCCTGTCAGCCTGATTGAAGATGACGACACTTGGAAAAAAGCAACAGACAATTCAATGGCAATTACAGGGTTCAACCTTAACTTTTTTGTTCAGTAACCAGCTGGGCTACTGAAACAGACTCTTAACTAGCCCGCGGTCATTTTTACAAGCCCGCTTTTTTTGTCTTATCTCAAATACATAATGGCGTATTTTCAGGCTCAATTCTGAGGCAAATTTGCCAGTGTTTTTTGATAAACAGTTTTGATAATTTAACCCTTTAAAGCAGGGTGGCGCCATTAATCGCCACTAAGTATAGCCTGTGCGGATATTCGTTTTCCTAAAGTGCATCCTAATTTATGGTTAGATCCGACGGACTAAATGAACAAACAATTGAACACAAGATGAACAACAACTCAAGAATTTATTTATTATTAAGCAAATACAAATATCAACAATAACCAGAAATAGTTAATGAACTACATGTACTCGAGTGTCTTTGGCTTCTTATGCTGAGGTGATCCTCTGCACTCTCCCTCCAGAGGTGCAAATACTATAAACAAATTTCAATCAGACCTCCAGGAGGTGTCCTACAAGCAACAAAACTATCACGCTCTAAGGACAGATTTTTTTCCTAAGATTCACTTGTTTGCAGGTCACAAATAACTCATTCATCAATATCAAAATCCTCTTATCGGTCAAGACGATTGCCACACCCCAAGGCTTTTCAAGTAGCTTGCTAATTTGCATAATTGTCTAACTTGGAATTAGGAAATTTGGATTAGCAAGGACACAAGTCACAAACAATCTGGTGTTAAGGGCAACAATTTGGCTAGAGCCCGTGAACTTCAGGTTACTAATTAGCAACCAACTTGAACGTCCCTACAAATATCACCAAATGTGATATGCAAAGTATACATAAAGATTTACCAGCACACCTAAACTTGAGATAAGCAGCGCCAAAAAATGCAAGTGCCCAATAGCGCGCTCTATGCACAAGTGAAATGCCAATGCGCTCAACTACATGTAAGTGCTCCATGCGCTAGCTAGTACACGGTACTCATTTACGTGCTGCAGCAGTAAACAAAATACATGGCACGATTGTTGGTCGTGTCAGTAAACTAATTTCCGTTACACAGCCTCATTGCCCATTCGAGACCTGAGTGGTCCCTGTTCAATTAGTTTACGATAATAGCAACATTAAATCAAATACAAAAATTGTTCACAGTAATTCATTTGGCATGTTTGGTGGCGAGATCGTTTTCACATACATGTACACACATTGGCTCACTATACTTGCTTCAGAGATCAGCTTGTGTCATTGTCTGTAGTATGTATTTGTTGACGGTCTCAGTTACCTTCGTCACCCTTCCCTCCAAGGCGGTCTCGAGAAACATCTTCTTCATGGTACTGGCTGCATTGAAGATGTGTGACGCCGCATTAGTGTAGCGTCAACATCATTCTCAGCTATAATATCCTCACTACCTCTAGCTGATGACGGCTCGTGGGCCTCCTGGGCCTACAACAGGGCCAAAGGCTTGCCACTGGAGGGCGCTGGAAGGGACGGGTAGTTGGTACCGCTGGAGGGGCTGGAGTTTCGGATGTCATCTGAAGGATCTCTGGATCATCCATGAGTAGATTAAGAGAAGCAGTTGGCCAAGGACTTCCCCTCAGGTTGCTGGGACGTCCTCCTCAAGGAACAGGGAGGATATATGAACGCACCATCCCGGGAGCTGGCTCCAATTCTAGAGATGGCCGGGCCTTCATCAGCTGAGGTTGCTTTCATCACCGCTGCGGTTGACTGAGGGGTTGCTTTTGGAAGCCCTTAATGCAAGCACCCCGATGACTACCATCGCTTGCCTGTTGGTCTGCTGTCGGTGGCTACTTGAAGGTGTCCGCCCCAAGGCTCATTAAAATGCCTCTGAGGTCATCCAGGTGGGAAGGGTAGACCTTCCCGCACTGCCACCTGAGGTTGTCCCTCAAGACGCTACCAGGGATGGCCCATGTGTTACTCAGATGTGCCTGTTTTGTTTTATTCACCTTTACGATTATCAACTGAATAAGATGCAATTGCAAACTCAACAAAGAAATAATTTACAACTACATGTATAACAGACAGTAAACAATTATTCTATGCAAATAATTTTATTTACGACACACACATCGAAATGAGGGTCAAATGCTAACCAATAGCGCTTCCAGCCAGCAGAGGTATACAATCGGAGGTATTTTAATTCACACAGACTCACGCTCACAATGGGAGGTGCAAATGTTTTAAGATTAATCAAATATATTAGTGTCCAATTTTTCTTTGATGCCCATACAATATCCCACTTCTGACACCATTTGTGTTAGTAAGAACTTTAGGAGAAGCAAGTAAAAATGGGGAAGGAGGGGGTGGGGCCTCAGGGAGAGGGGAGGTGTAGTAAATATCTACGGCTCCGGCTCCTTCAACTTAGGTCAGGCGGTGCAGGGTGGTGCCATTAATTACATGTGTACCATGAAAAAAATTACTATTACATGTACATGTTATTCTAGGAAACTATATCCTAATTTGTGGTTATAGATCGGACAGACTAAATGAATAAACATTGAACACAACATATTGTGAATGAACAACAAGTCAAGAAATTATTTATTCCGGAAAAAACAAATATCAACAATAACTAGGAATAGTTAACAAACTACACATTTCCAAGTGTTTTCAGTTTCTGAATTGGCTCAGACTATAAGATCCTCTGCACTCTCCCTCCGGATGTGAAACTACTACAGCCAAAATTCAATTGGACCTCCAGGAGGTATCCAGGCAACCAAACTATTCTTCTAAAATTCACCTGTTTGCAAGTCACAAATAACCCGTTCATAAAACTCAAAATGCTCTTACCAGTCAAGACGATTTCCGCACCCTAACAGCACATGCTTATAAGGCTTTTCAAGTAGCTCATTCCTCATTAATAACTGTCTGACTTGGAATTGGGAAATTTGGATTAGCGTAAGTAGACAAGTCACAAACGATCTTGAACTTCCCTACAAATATCACCAAATGATGTGCCAAGTACATAAAGATATATACCGATGCACCCAAACGTGAGATAAGCAGCTCCAAAAAATGCAGGTGCCCAACAGCGCACACTTCCGAGTTCTAGGCACTTTTATACATGTTATATTTATAAGTGCTCCATGCACGGGCTACTAGTACATGTACGTGTTGCAGCAGTAAACAAAGTACAAGGCAAGACACAGCCCGCCTATTCGAGGCCTGAGGGGTTCAATAACGTCTACGATAACAGCAACATTAAATGCAACAGTAATATTATGCACGAAAATACAAAGTTTTATACAATGCGAATACATGTATATCGCCTCTGTTATTAATATCCATATCTCGGTTAGTACATACCATACAATCCCGCAATTTAACCATCTTGATTCTTGGTTTAAATAAATCATGGGACCAAAAACACTCCACACACTAGCTCCGCCTACACTTATCTAACTGTATTCGCATATGAGGTCGTACGCTAGAAATCTAACGCAGAATAAAGAAAAACATAAGCTTTCGCGGACGATTGGACCAAGGTGTTCAATCGGATCCAAATAATTTGCATAAAACAGTGGCCGCATGAGTCATGAGGTCGCTATTCGCGCTGTATGTTTAATGCACTATATAGCGAGGATATGCCGCCGATCGTTTACCGCGTACGGACGAATATACTTTGAATGTATGCATAAAATAATTCAAGAGCGATCTTCAACGTTACGAAACATCTGCCAAGTTGAAATGTAATGTGTTCAACTTTCGTGAATGTGAGTGCGAATAGCCGCCGTTTACGTCACAAACTCACATTCGTGTTACCATGGGCGCCTGCCCTTTTGAAAGGCATGTAATTGGAAGCAGAAGTATTTTTTTCTGGACATACAATATGTTAAACAGAATGAGCTGCTTACGATCGAACAAATGTAAATTGGCCCATAATTGGACGTGTCATGCTGTTTAAAAACATATATGCTGTAGGTCGCTTTGCGGTCACGCCGGTGTTGGGTTACCAAACCAACAATCAGTGATCTGAAGCGTGATTGGCCAATGAGGAACATACATTATTCATACTGGATAATTTCCATATCCTCTCACTCCCCATTTGTCTGAGATTTGCGATGCAAAGTAAAGAAAAACATGAAACCCGGTGACATAATATAATCAAGGCTGTACGTGCTCTTATGGAGCACGGATTGGACTGTCACGTAAGGGCAGTGCAGTGTGTACAAGCATGTACATACATGTACAATATGAACTGCGGGATTTGAGCGTACGTGTGATGGAATCGGGTATATACCGCGATATTGCAGTACGGGTAATACTATGCGTGGCCAGCGATATGCGTTGCTGATACAGCACAGCCTTGCATTCAAGGCTATTTTCGTTTACATCATAGCGCTGCAAAAATAAACTTTGATACTTACACTGCGCGCGATGTCAGACAAACGGCGCCATGATGAAAATCCAATGCGACACGATATGTCTATACATGTAACTCTAAAATAAAATTATATTTTGACGGTTTGCAAAAAGGAAAGGCTTCTAATTTAAATTGTCAAGGTTCCGTTATGATTATCAATTTTTTTCGTAAAGAAACAGTATTGAGAAAAAGAAAATCGATAGTAGATAGTACATGTTGACCGATAATCATGGAACGAGGATGGCTGAATGACTTTTTCGTCAGTTTGCGACTCATGTATGGTTTCTTGACGTCTGCAATGCGATACTACCGTTGAGACCAAGTTAAACACAATCATCACCAGGGCAAAAAATTCTTGCCGTGGATCTTGAGCGTAATGGACTGGTCTGTTCATCGCCACATGGCCTGTGAACGTAACATGTCATGCCGGGCAACAATTTTTCGTACTCTTTGTTTCATACTCTACGCAAAAACTAGTGTAATTTCAATGTCAATCCAGATCAAAATGGGAAAATATTTAAGTTTATTACATGATTGAACTATCTTTCCAAATTATGACGAATGTTTTAAAATTTTAACTTTTAAATGAGGAATGAAAATCTAACCTTTTGAAACAAAATAATTGGGCGTGTGTGGACGTTCATTTTGTACACATAGTGATCACCAGTTGCAACCAGCGTATGCGCGAGCCCTTCCTGAACAATCAAAAGAGCATTGGGCCTTGACGTAATAAACTGTACGTGATAGACTGCACGTAAACCACATGTACATTTGTGGATTGACGTTGGTCGTACCGTGCCGGGCACAGCAACTCTGCAATAATATTACACTGCGTGAATGTCAAAACTATTTTGGTTTATTTCGGTTTATTTCGGTTTATTTCAAGTTTTTCACAAGATGGCTTAATCGACCCAACCCAACCCGACCCGACCAAAAAATTGCAAACGCTAAACCGAAACCGACCCGACTGAAATGATGGAAAAACAAGCTTGACCTGATGACCCGAAGTCCGTTTCAGGTCCAGTCAGTTTGGGGTTGAGTCGGTTTTGGGTCAGGTTAACACAACATTACAACAGACTCCGAATCGATGTGTGGTGACTGGAATAATATAGGTCTATCTGGGCACCCCTACTGGGAATACATGTACAGAGTTTAGAGAAACTAGGAAACGAAATGAGAATTATTGAGACAAGACCCACCTCTGGATTGGTGCCATATGAAGTTGCATGACGGTGGCTGCAGGGTTCCACACCTCTCCTGCAATCGCATACCTGTGCTGCCATCCTTCCCACATCTCCCATGGACGTGATATGATGCATGCCTTGCCAGACACTTAATTGGCTTACGTTCCCCACCAAACCAGCTTACATGTCCTGGAGTCTGTAGAAAATACAGAGGGGCACACATTAAGTTAAGGCCCTACAAACTTGTTTGTTTGTGGCAGCAGTTCATCATGAAAACGCCCTCTCATGGCAGCAGGCTATCGCAGCAGTGGGTTAATTTTTTATTAGACATCTACAACAGACTCCGAATCAATGTTTGGTGAGCCATGCGTGTGCGGGATCGTGTTATCACCCTCCATGTGAATGCACCATCTATGGCTGGGGCACGCTGAAATGAAGAGTCATGTATATCTCCCCTCTTTAGAAAATGTTCCGATCAAACTCCAGTATCGTAACAGGATGTCTTGCAACTGGATGCAAAATTTGAATCGTAACAAAAGGCAGTTGGTCAGGGTTTACAGTTAACTCAACCGTTTGCCAATAACTCAATTTGAACTACTTCAACCATTTGCCAACTCAAGTTACTCAACCGTCGTGCCAACTCAACTGTTGAGACAAGTTTGTTTGTTAACCAACCGGAACTAAAAGGTTTAGTTTAGTTGACTCGACCATTTGCCAACTCGTCTGTTTTAAAATTCAACTTGAATTAAAAAGAAAGCGTCCAGGTAACTTGGAAGTAACTTGACCCAAAAATCAAAATCTAAACTTCCTGAGTCATTGTATGTTTCAAGTTCCATCTTACATAAAATTGGAATGATTATTCACATGTCCTGGTACATATACTCTGGTCCAAAGATATGCTGTCTGGGGAAGTATTTTAAAAAAAAATGTGAATTACTGAAAACACCTGCTTTACAGAGTAGACCTACATTTTTACCAAAGCTGATTTTCATTAAGTTTTACTATGGAAAATATCATTTCAGAGTGTTTATTCAAACTTAGTCTGAATTTCCCCGAATCAAAATCGGTGTCGGAAATGTGTGCCTGACCGTAGGCTCTTCTTAACGGAGAAATGCAGAACGACATTCATGTGGAAGAACACATGTCCGTGGCCTAGCCGTAGCCACTTGACCCCAATACTTTGCCTTATTAACTCGGCTGAGATGCCTTGTAAGAGCCAAACTCGTGCAGGCACAAATCTGCAGATCGCAGAGTGCTTCAAATTGTTTGCCTTCCGGTCATGGAATTCAAGTGTGGTCTTTGAAACTAAACTTTATCACGGAGTGCTGATGTGTCAATGGTTGCGCTTGATTAACTCGATGCATGCGATACGCAACTACTACAAGGGAGTTTGCGTTACTAAAAATGCAGTGACATTTGGGTATATATACCAGACTATTTGAGTTCGTTCCTCGGAATCGATAGCACCGCCTATCGAACTTTCAAAAGTAATTCAGTCAGATATGATCAGATCATATAAATTTATCTTTGATTTTTTTTTTGGTTTTTCCCAAAATGAACAATAAGGTTTCGTATGCTCGAGACCCCACAAGATATCGAGACTTTTTGTACAAAAATCGATACTGAGACCTGCCTCGAGACCTACATCACTGGTACTAAGAATGTTGCTTTTACCCATCAAACAACACCAACATTCCAGAGGCGCGAGACGAGCT